TGAGAGGGAATCGCTTCTCTCGGGGACTGGAGATAGAGTCTTCTCGGCTGTACAAGGGCCTCTCTTCTTTCATATTAAAATGGTTTTCCAAGAAACTACATTCTTAGCAGTTAGCATATTATAGATGCTGGAGGGAGAAGCAGAAGCCTGGGTTCCAGCCCGAATCCTGCCACCAGTCTTCGATAAGTGTCCAAACCTATCCGGACTGTGATCTGCTCTATAAAATAAACAGACCTTTATGAAACTTGTTTAAACTGATGCCAATCAGAGATCCTGGATAACAGATTCCATTGTATTAGTCCTTTTACCATACCTGATGCAAAACAAATAGACGAAAAGGACCAAGCATCGCACAGAAAGGTAGAGATGCCCAGAGTGTTGCCTTTGAAACAGACAGAGGATTGAAATGGACAGAGCATAGCTCCGAGGTATGAAAACCTGAGTGTGAGTGTGAGCTCTGCTGGCTTTGTTGGAAGAGCTTGGCTTAGTTATCCTGTCACATTTCAGGACTCAGTTTCCTCGTCTGCAAAGTGGAGGTAATAACTACTTGACAAGAGTTCAATGAGGATTTCAATAAAATAAAGTAATATCCATGGCAGTGCTTGAAACACAAACTGCTCTGAGAAAGAGTTCCTTCCTTCCTTCCTGCCTTCCTGCCTTCCTGCCTTTCTGCCTTCCTGCCTGCCTGCCTGCCTGCCTTCCTGCCTTCCTTCCTGATGTGTTAAAACCCTACCTGACCTTGAGAGGCAGGCACCCAAAGGGAAATCTGCTCCTTCCTGGTTTTATAACCACAATGGGAAGAGCACCACTGACTTCTGAGATGCACCTGGCCCCCACTGCCAGGTTGTATTTCCCAGGCTTCCTGCCTCTCCCCTGAAGAAGAGCTTACGCAGGTTGAGTCCCCTGGCAAGAGTGGATAACAGCAGGAACCCCAAACAGCTGAGTGAGCATACCTATAATAGGGAAAGTGTTTTATAGATTCACTCAGAAGGGCTGCAGAGGCCTCCCCATCTGCACCAATCCCCATACTTATGATGTAGCAGCTGGCAAATCGAAGCAGCAGCCACATCAGCTTGCGATGCGACAATCAGAAACAATCTAGCCCAACACGGGCCCCCTTCTGTTTTGTGTGTCAGGCATTGCATATGATTTCACTTGGAAAATGTCTTCCAGACCTTTATAATAAGTTTGCAGAACCACTGGCCCAAGTCCTTGAGGGTATTTTTAGGAAAGCAGGAGGCTGGAGTGGTGGAGGGACTTTCCTCCAGAAGCTTCGTATCACCCCCAGACCTCCGGGATTCTCCCCAGGTAGTTTCCTGGAGGCTGTCCCATCTTCCTGGCAGCCTGAGATGCTCTGAGGATAATACAAAAGCAGATGTTGCGTGGATTTGCTCCAGCTCAAGGCCTATGACTCACCAGGATGACTGAGCCTCCCTGGCAGACAACGCCATTCTTGGAGGACTCCATGAAGCCAAGAAAAAAAACCCAAGACCTGGACACTTCCAGGACTTTCCCTAGGACTTCACTAGAAATGTCAACCTCATTCGCCCACATGAGGCCTCAGGGATGGAGCAGCTGGCCCCAGCCTGTGGGGGGCGAAGTGGGACTGGGGTAGGGGTGTGGAGAGGCTCTCAAGCAGGTAGGTCAAGGCGTCGGCAATGCACTCGCTGAGAAGCCACAGCAGGGTTTGGATGAGAATTTGCAACAGCCCTGCTCAGAGCTAGTTCTCTTTTCTACTGTGGCAATGAAAAGTAACTAGCGATAAAAATCTGTAACTGGCCCTGGCCAGTTTTGCTCAGTGGTTAGAGCATTGGCCTGTGGACTAGAGAGGCCCGGGTTTGGTTACCGTTGAGGGCATGTACCTTGGTTGCAATTTGTCCTTGGCCCTGGTTGGGGTTGTGTGGGTGGCAATCACTCGATGTGTCTTTCTCACATCAATGTTTCTCTCTCTCTCTCCCTCCTTCTCTCCCACCAGCTCTATCTGAAAATAAATGCAAAAATGTCCTCAGGTGAGGATAAAAAAAAAAAAATCTGTAACTTCCCAGCTGGTGTGGCTCAGTGGTTGAGCGTCGACCCATGCACCCAGAGGTCTCTGGTTTGATTCCCCGTCAGGGCACATGCCCAGGTTGTGGATCCAATCTTCAGTATGGGGCATGCAGGAGGCAGCTAATCAATGTTTTTTCTCATCGATGTTTCTACCTTTCTCTCCCTCTCCCTTCTTCTCTCTCTAAAAATCAATAAAGAAAAAAATTTTTTTAAAAATCTATAACTGACCAGCAGATGAGAAGGCAGAATAGGGAGTGTTGGAGGATTAATCGAGGGGCAAGAGCCTACAGTGATTTGGGATTAGGCAGACCTAGGCTTAAATCCCCATGCTGCCATTTTCCAGCCAAATGACTGTCCGTGCTCAAGTTTCTCCCCCTCCTCTGGCTCAGTTTCTTCATTCATAAAATTAGAATAAGGTGGTTGTGAGGATGAGTTGAGACGGTCTGTATCTACACAAAAAAGGCTTAGCATATGTCTGGTACAATGTATCTACTGAATCCTACAATTTTTATTTATAATTTGTCCAAATTTGCAATTTGTTTCTGAGTGTGAGTTCCCTTATCTCACTTCAACTTTTCACCAGGTTCCCATTTGGGTGCTCTACCTAGCCCTTTTACTGCCTGAGCCCTTGCCCTGAACTTCAGCCCATGCCTCTGAGAGCCACCCTGATACAACTACCCACAAGGAGTTTCAAATTTCAGCCACATCGATTCCTTGTTACGGTGCTTTACCCACATTCGGCAATACTACCTAAGCTCCATCATCACAGACTGACTGTCTCGGCGGGGGCCAGATATCCTGGTATCTGTTGCCCATGAGATCTAAGCTTCTCCATCAGCCCAATAAGCTCATTACTTACAAGAGCAATGTCTCCCCATCAGGCAGATCTAGGCACGGGTCTGGCTCCCCGTCTTCCTAGACTGCCATGCCCCAAAGATTGCAGATTCATGGCATGGTGGACTCATGGATGCTGGCAGTGCTGGGAACCGGTTACAGTAAGTTGTTTCTACGCAACCCTTTGTGACAGTGACCTCTAAGCCTTCTTTTAGTTCTAAAATTCTATGATGGATGATTCTGTTCCTAGGTTACAAAAACACTGGCCACACCTACTTTCTTTGTCTCCTCTCCTTCCATCTTTGGAGCACAAGTCTGCAGTCACTGAATGAAATGCATAGCTGTGCTGAAAGTTAGGTGACGTGCGGCAGTGGTGCCAGGAGCAGTTGTGCAACTAGTCAGTTGCCACCGTCTAAAAGGCTCTCAGTGAGAGCAGAGATATGCAAAGGATGTGGTCCTGCCCCTAGTTCACCTATTCACCCATTCATTCACTCTTCAAACCACCCGTCATCAAATATACATTGAGCATGTGACAGGCTACTTGGGAAAGGGATGCAAAGGAAAGCAGAACCAGACATCTGTCCCAAGAAGCTCACAGCTATCTAAAAGCACTGTGACACAGGAATCTGCCAGTTCTGTGGCAACACTGGAGACCTCGCATTCAGACCAGGACGGGGTGGGTGGGTGGCAGCAGCCGGAAGAGATCCTGGAGCAGATGACTTAAGCTGAAGCTTCAAGGATGAGTAGAAGCTGGTCAAGTGGCAGGCGCATAGTAATGGCAGCCTTTGCAAAGGCTGACAGGTGTGTGAAAGCTTGAAGTACTTAAGGGTCCACAGGCAGGTCAACACTGTGATGAGGAAGCGGTTTGTTTCTAGTCATTAGCAACAGGAGATGCATCTAGAGAGGCAGGCAGAAGTCAGATCAGGAAGGGCTGTGTGTTGAGCCGAGGAGGTTCAACTTTATTCCATGGGCTGTGACGAGATACTGGCCTAAGAACCTCTTTTAAAAAGTGGCTGGGCTGGAGTGTGACAGGGCACAGGGGTGAACAGCTGTTGGGTTTTGGCCGGACTGCATCCAAGCGTCTCTTCACAGTACTGACCTTCCCTTTGGAAAACATCCCACTGTGTGGAGCAGTGTTGGTTGAAAGATGTAGCTGGTGCACTGCAGAGACTCAGTCAATACTTGTTGCTGGATAAGTTACCCTATTTTAGAGATGGGGCACAGCAGAGAGAGTAGTCTGGTGACCCCTGTGTCTCCTTCTTCCTCTCCCTCTCCCTCTTGTATTCCCAGTGCTTGGCACATAGTAGATACTCAACATTTATCGAGTGAATGGATAAACAAACAAAAGAGAGGCATACCCTTACTAAAAACATCCTGTGAATGTGTTTACCTCAGTGGGCTTCGATCTCCCCATCCACAGACTGGCTCCTACCACCAAAGTAGATCTCCATTAATTTGGGGGGATGGGGAAAGTTGAACTCTTAAACCTGACAGAGGACCACAGCTCTGTGTCAGGGTTATAGTTCTTACATGTATGCTCCACTCCAGGACAGTAACAACATCCCCATCATTTAATGTGAGTTGCATTAATCAGATGCTAGGACAGGGAAAAAGAAGGGAAGGTGAGCTGACCTACTGTTTGTACTGATTACATTATCCTCAACCTTGATCCTTGCAGGGGAGAAGAGAGGAGAGGAGGGGAGGGGAGGGGAGGGAGAGGCGGAGAGGGGTGGGAAAGGGAGACAAGCAGGAGCACAATTCCTGACACAGATTAGGAACTCAAAGGTATGTGACTAATTTCCCAGCTGGCTAGGGCTCAGCAAATGACAGCTTACGTGACTCATGGTCCTTATCACAGCCCTGTGAGGTACACACTCTTACACTCATGTTAGAACTGAGGACATGACAGATTTTTCTCAAGGCCACATAGCTTGTAAGTAGAATACTTAGGATCTGAACCCAGGTCTGCCTGACTCCAAAGTCCAGGCCGTCTCCTCTCTACTGGCTACCTTTGAAATGACAAATGGCACTGGGCACCTGCTGAGCACAGCTGGGTTGACACAATGAGTGCAGGAGTTGATGAGTACCATGTGTATCAGGGACATTAAAAGCAGCCATACCCCCTCTGGTGTTGGCAAAATGATGAATTCCGGTATGAGACAACCAGGTTCCTTCCTCCAAAGGCCATTTTTCACCGAGGTCCATGCTTCTGGCAAGTATGTGCAGCTCTCACATCAAATAAAATCTCTAAAATAAATGATGAGCACAAAAAATGGACATGAATTAGTATTGATGCTCTCTTGGGAAGGGGGTCTTTCTTGAAGAAAAGTAGTCAGTTTCTAGTTTATTATGTTTATTTTTTTTAAATGTTTTTATTGATTTCAGAGAGAGAAAGGGAGAGGGAGAGATAGAAACATCAATGAGAGAAGATAAACATCTATTGTCTGCCTCCTCCACGCCCCCTACAGGGGATCGAGCCCACAACCCAGGCATGTGCCCTGACCAGGAATCCAATCAGTGACTTCCTGGTGCATGGGAAGATGCCTAACCAACCTAGCCACACTGGCTAGGCTATTATGTTTCTTTAATATGCAAAGATTGTTGTCAAGATATGGGTATGGCCTGAGTGTGAGATCTTCCAATGAGGCTGCTCAAGTCTGGGAGCCATTGTTTCTCTCTCCACCAGTTAGCAAATGTTTGTTAACTGAGCAACTATTACATGCCAGGCTTTGAGTAAGGAAGTTACTATTTAGTTCTGCATATTTTGTAAACTCCTAGAATTTCAGTGTCAGATACAGTGGAGTCTCAATTACATAAAAATAAATAGGTAAATATCAGATATGTCTGGAAAACAGACTGGAAAAAAAAATTTTTTTTATCCTCACCCGAGGACATTTTTTTGTGATATTTTGTTCAGATAGAGTGGGAGGGAGACAGAGAGAGAGAAACATCGACGTGAAAGGGACACATCGAGTGGTTGCCACCCACACAGCCCAACCAGGGCCAGGAAAAACTGCAACCGAGGTACGTGCCCTTAGCGGGAACTGAACCCGGGTCTCTCTGGGCCGCAGGCCGATGCTCCAACCGCTGAGCCAAACCGGTCAGGGCCAGACTGGAAAAATTTTTTTTCTTTTTTATCCTCACTCGAGGACATTTTTCCATTTTTTGTTCAGATAGAGTGGGAGGGAGAGAGAGAGAGAAACATTGACGTGAAAGGGACACATTGAGTGGCTGCCACTCGCACGACCAACCAGGGCCAGGGACAAACTGCAACCGAGGTACGCGCCCTTAGCAGGAACCAAACCCGGGTCTCTCTGGACCGCAGGCCGATGCTCTAACTGCTGAGCCAAACCGGCCAGGGCTGGAAAATTTTTTGAATTAAAAAGTTGTAAGTTGCCCTGGCCGGTTTGGCTCAGCAGCTGGAGCATCGGCCTGCGGACCAGAGAGTCCCAGATTCGGTTCCCGCTAGGGGCACGTACCAAAAAAAAAACAAAGTTGTAAGTAGCTATCATTGCATTGGAAATATGAATGCTTTTTATTTTCTTTGTAATTTTCTGTATTTTCCACAATGAACATGCATTCTTTTCATAGTCTAAGAATATATATAATAAATATTATTTTAAAGAAAAATTCCAGCGCCAAGAAGGACCATGGAGACTAATTTTGCATTTCTTCTCGAAAACTATGATAAAAAGCCACAGGTCATGAGGGCCCTTGGCTCTCCTAAAAAGGACACCTCCCTGGCTGCCCACAAGAAGTCCATCCTGGGGAATGTCTACCTATAAACTGTATCTGGGAAGGTACAACTCATGGCCAAACTTCTGCCCACATTATAAAGAGATCTTCCCGCCGCGCCGCGGTCGGCAGATCCTCAGGTGGACGTGGCTGAATAATTGGACATGACTGATAGACCTAATCAGTGAATGCTGCAAGTGGAGCACCCACATGGCAGAAATCCTGTTGGCCTCATTACGATGGGCAGCCATTATCATTTGTTGTAATCAGAGCACCTGGCTTGACTTGGGCTCCAGAATGCTGTTCAAAGTGGCCCTGCAGCCCTGGCCAGTTTGGCTCAGCGGTTAGAGCGTCGGCCTGCGGTCTGGAGAGACCCGGGTTCGGTTCCCGCTAAGGGCACGTACCTCGGTTGCAGTTTGTCCCCGGCCCTGGTTGGTCGTGCGGGTGGCAGCCACTCGATGTGTCCCTTCATGTCGATGTTTCTCTCTTTCTCGCCCTTCCTCTCTCTCCCTCCCACTCTATCTGTACAAAAAATGGAAAAAAATCCTCGGGTGAGGATAAAAAAAAAAAAAAAAAAAAAAAAAAAAAAAAGTGGCCCTGCAGCTCCTGCTGCCCGACTGCAGGCATGGCAGACTGACTGGATGTCTGGCCGTCTGCCTAGAGATGTAGTCCTCTTGGGGTTGCAACACACAACCAGAAGTCTCTAGTGTAATACCAGGAGGTACCAAAGCTTGTATAGTGCTTTACTGGGGACTGACTCACTCGGGATTTATGTTCAATCCAAACACCCAAAGTTTCAGAAGGAAATCCTAGACCACGGAGAAAACACTGGGCTCTTCAATAAATCCAGATTTTAGCCCTGACTCTGGCACTAACCGGGTGACTTTGGACAAGGCACTTACTCTCTGGACTTAATTTCTTCAAGGTTAAATGAAAGAGTTAGGACTAGATGTTGTCAAAAGCCTATTTAGTCTGTCAAGACTTGCAGCCTATAATAATATGCTTTTACATACAAAGGCAGCCTCTCCGCCCACATCAGTGGGCTGAGAAATATGTATCATTTATGTATTAGCAAACCGAGATATCAGCCTCAGCAATGAGAGGTGGCTGATTGAGGCCAGAGGTAGTCTGCCATTGGAAAAGAACATGTTCCCTGTCTAGAATAGAAAGCCAGTCTCAGGCATGATCACGCTGGTATCATCATTTAATCAAATGAACTAACTAATTAACATCTTGTATCTTCATCTATTATGAAATAACAGTAACAATAATACAACATCCTTAAAAAGCAACATTTATTTACTGTAGATTGGTCACTCGAAACCATTTCATTAATCCTTGCAGTATCCTTGAGAAGTGAGATTCTAAGAGCTGTGTTTGACAAAAATAGAGCTTTACTGATTAATTAGAGAGTGGTTTTCAACGTAGATTTCCCATCCTTCTTGGCCCAGTGGTCTAGGCACCCACTGGCCCTAGGAAACAGATTTGCAAAATGATATCTTCTGGATGTGTGAAGTTAGGCCTTCACATCCGGGCATTTTATTTTATTAATCTCAACGACATAGGTTCATGTTGAGTGTTTTATTAACTTCAACCTGCAAACCCCACAAATTTCTCTGTTGCCTGAATTTCACACCTCAGCTTGGGAAAGCCAAGCATAAAATGTGAAATGAAACTGCATCAAACACAAGCATTCCGAGGAAGACTTTGAGCAATCCCATCTGTCACTGAACTCTAACGCCATCTCTGTAGTCATAGGAAGTCCCAGAGTGGCTCAGGAAACTGGAGCCTAGAAAATATTTTCCAGGTCTGTGGCCATATAAAACAAGTGACCAGGGTTTTCTATAATGTGTTTAACCTTTATCCAAGTCAAAACTCTGTCAATGGCTAAGTCCATGAAGAAGAAACTAAAGGGAGAAAACATATTAATGCAACCATGGGACTAGAAAGCGAGGAAATACTTTTCTCTAAAGCAGCACACAGCAGTTCAAACAATCACATGTAAGATAAGGTTGGGGGCCTGAGCGGAAAAGCCTACTGAAAACTTAGTTGTAATTCTGTCTCTGAGAAGCACTTTGTGAATATGTTGCACTCCCACATTCATTGCAGCATTATTCACAGTAGCCAAGATATGGAAACAACCTAAGTGTCTTGTTAACAGATGAGTGGCTAAGATGTTACACCACACACACACACACACAGAGGAATATTATTCAGCCATGAGAAGGAAGGCAATCCTTCTCTCTGGGACAACAAAAATGGACCTGGAGGCCCTTACACTAAGTGAAACAAGCTAGACAGAGAAAGATAAATACTGCACGGTGTCACTTATATGTGGACTCTAAAAATAAGGGAAAGAAAACTCATAAAAACAGAGAATAGAAAAGTAGTTTCCAGGGGTTAGGAGGTGGAGGAACTAGGGAGAGAGTGGTAAAAGTGTACAAACTTTTGGCTATAAGATGAACAAGTTCTGAGGAGCTAATGTAGATATGGTGACTATAGTCAATAACACTGTATTGAATTACAACGGTAAGTTTTCAGTAGGCTTTTCCGCTCAGGCCCCCAACCTTATCTTACATGTGATTGTTTGAACTGCTGTGTGCTGCTTTAGAGAAAAGTATTTCCTCGCTTTCTAGTCCCATGGTTGCATTAATATGTTTTCTCCCTTTAGTTTCTTCTTCATGGACTTAGCCATTGACAGAGTTTTGACTTGGATAAAGGTTAAACACATTATAGAAAACCCTGGTCACTTGTTTTATATGGCCACAGACCTGGACAGTTGATAACACTGAATTTGTTAAAAGATTAGAACTTAAATGTGTTTACAAAAAAGATAATAAATAAGAGAGGTGAAGGATGTGTTAACTAGATGGGAAGAACCATCTCACTATATATACGTATATCAAATCACGATGTACACTTTAAATATCTTAAAATATTATTTGTCAAATATACCTCAATAAAGCTGAAAATAGAATAAATAAATAGCACTAATGGGGGGAATAGAGAGGGAGAGGAGAACTAAGACACTTGCATAGTTGGACACTAGGATCTATGGAATACTGGAATATTATGAATACATAATTGATATTTAATAAATATTGCTTGATTGAATGGATGAATAAATGATAATAGCCAATGGATAAGGATCTTAGTCAGATACTAGATACCATTAAGTTCCCAAAAGAGACCTGTCTGCCCTGAGAGAGTGGTGTGAACCCGATTGGATCACTGGACTTAAGGACGTTCAACTCTACGGCTCTCCGATGACCAGAACTCTCCTTAAACTAACATATCTTCCTCTCTTTTCAGAGCTGCCTCTGGAGCAAGCCATCGCCCAGCTGCCTGAGCCGGAAACTCGCCATCCCCGATTGGCTGACTGCATCTCACATCAATCAATCACTACACTTTGTCCATTCTAACTTTCAAATGTCTCAAGAATGCATCTGCTTCTCTCTGTTTTCATTGCCTCAGCCACTATCATCTCTCACTGAGATCCTGCAAAGACTTCG